ATCTGGCGGCTTCTGAGGCTTGCGGGGCCGGCGTGCCTGCGGCCCGGGACCGGATCGGGTCCTGGGTGGCAGGCAAGCGGCTTCTGGCGTCGCCCACGGGGGCCTGGATGGCGGCTTGCACTGGCGGCTGGTGCTGTACCGCCCTGCCTGCAGTATGCAAATTAGCCACCATCTTCGTTGGCGGTTAATTTGCATACCTCGCTGATTAGCCAATGGGAGGCGTAGCAAAGGTACGGTCAATTACCAAATTTGGCTATTATTAGTTAGGATGCTATATGTGTTTTCCGATGGTCCCAATCCACAGCCTGAGAACCGCTGCAAGCAAAGTGAGCCTGGAACAAGTTACTGTTGCGGGTGGGGAATGGAGGGAAAGCAAAGGTGAGAGACATAAGTAAAATCAGTGTCAAGGAAAAATTAAAAGGAAGATATCGTGCAACTTCCAGGAAATCTCCAACAATGGAGCAAAGAAAAAAAAAAGACCTCTATTACTCTGTGAGCACTAAACCAAACTGGGTTGGGGTCTCAGACAATATGCTCATATGATTGCAAAGACAGACAGAAACTCCCAGGTTGGAGAGGGCTCCCCTGAGGGCTCCCAGATTGGAGAGGGTGCAGGTTGGGCTGAGGGACCCACCCCTGTGCACAAATGTTCGTGCACTGGGCCCCTAGTATACAAATAATATCGAAAAGCTTAAAATAAATAATAGCATTTACCCTGCCTCAACTATCCCCTTCCTCAATTTAAAGGGCCAGAAGTACCTACCTTCAATTCCTTTGACACTTTTTACTGGTATTTGTTGACATATTTCTAATTATGTGCTTTTACAGTTATTGCTGGATTTATCAACTTTGACACATGTTAGTTTTCTGTAATGGTAGATGATTTAATTTCCTTACATTATTACCATTATATCTTTACTTCCCTCTTCATATTTTCACAGTGTGACTTTTATCACAACTTTCGATTAAATTGTTATTCATTGTGTACATTATTATAATGATATAAATATTGTTCCCTTCCAATTAAAATAATGTACTCTGATTTCATTTTCTTCCTTGTATATCTTATTTTTAGTTTTTTTTCTAGAGTTAGTAATTTCTCTGTTTCTTTTCATTTGTTTGCTTATTTAGGTAACTATGGTTAATTCCTCCCTCTTTTTCCAGCATCCTTATTAGTCAAACCAATGAGATTACCTATCATTTTTTTATTCCCTGCATATCTCCCTATTGAGCCTTTATTCCTTCTCTTCCAATGTGGACTGGTTGTTCTGTTATTGCTGCCCAGCTTTCTTCGTTCTGTATTGAATACTCTTATTCCTGGATTCCATGTCTTTCTCTTTATTACTTTCTTTTTAAATTTCAGCTTTATTAAGGTATAATTGACAAATAATTCCTCTTTCTTACTTTACTCCCTCATTTTGCTGGAGGGCATCTTCTAGTAGTTTCTTGAGAATGCGTTATAGGAAACCTTTTTTTCTTTAATCCTCATTGAGGAATGAGACTATTTTTTTCCATTGATTTTTAGAGAAAGTGCAAGGGAGGGAGGAGGGACAGAGAAAGAGAGAGAAAGAGAAACATCAGTGTGAGAGAGATACATTGATTGGTTGCCTTCCACGTGCCGAGGGATTGAACCTGCAATTAGGTGCACAGGCCAACACTCTAACCATTGAGCAGTGCTGGCCAGGGCAGGAAAACATTTTTTAAATATATTTCTTATTTATTTTATTTTTATATTTATTTATTTTAGGAAAACATTTTTTGATACTTCACTTGGAAAGATACATCTTTATTCTGTACTTACCCTTCATTAATAATTTGGTTATAGATTCTAGATTGAAAATTATTTCTTCTCAGGATTTTCAGGTCTTTTTCACTTTTAGCTTTCAGTGTTAAAAATTAATGGTTGAAAATTTGATGCTATTCCTAATTCCAGTCCATTATTTGTGACACATTGTTTTTCTCTCGTTAAGATTTTAAGATCTTCCCTTTTTTCATATGCTCTGAAAGTTATGATGATGTGCCATAGTATGAGTTTTTTTACTTGGTGGGTCTCTTTCCAAACCAGAGATTCACATCTTTAGTTCTGGAAAATTGTTTTACACCTTTTTTTAAATACTTTTTTAAATACTTTTTTTAAATTATCATATAGTAAAATTGACTTCTTAGGGGGGTATTGTACAGTTCCATGAATTTTCACTTATTTTTTATGCAACCACCACCACAGTCAAGATACCTAAATATCCCATCACTTCAAAAAAAAGCTCCTTTTTTTAATTACACTCACCCCTCACCTCTTATTTTGTTCTCCATAGTTTGTCTTTTCTAAAATGTTAGATAAATGGGATCATATATGCATTTTCATGTTGATTTCTTTCACCCAATTTGAAACCTTCCCATGTTTGTTTTTTCACTTTTCAGAAAATTTCCTTTCTCCTATATACCTTAATTGAACAGTAATATCTTTTAGATGGTCATACAGTCACAAAAAGCTTCCTAGTTTTAAGGAAGTTAATAAAATATCTTGAAGGGTTTTTACCAGGAGTGAAAAGTGAGATACCTTGCAGCTCCTGGTAGTCAGGTCACAGGTTTTTTTTTTAATGGATCTTGGTTCTGTTCCTACAGTATGGAAACCTATGCATCTCTAACTTGTTCTTTATACAGGCTATCATCTGATCCCTTTGTTATCCCCATCTTTCTCTGGTATCAGGCCTTCAACTTTCTGTAGTTCTGTGAGGAGTCAAACAGCTTGCTTTCATTAGTATTCCTGTCTGTAGCATCTAGATTTCATTTTATACCACTTTGCTATATCACTTAATCACTAAGAAAGAATGGAAGTAAATACTTATATTAAATCCACTATATTTCACTAGAAGCTCCTGTCAAAGTTGTCTTGTTTTGAAATATCATTAATTGTTCGTTTCCATTTTATCTCTTTGCAGAGCTGGCAGAGTTGCCTTTGATACGGTTAGACTTCTCCTGTAATAAAATTACAACAATCCCTGTTTGTTATCGGAACCTCAAACACCTACAGATGATTGCCCTAGATAACAATCCATTACAGTCTCCTCCTGCACAGGTAAATCATCGTTTATTTGAAGGATGTTATGAACTTTTTCGGCAAAGAATGAAACATTATGCGTTTGTCTTTCTGTTGGAAATTAAGTTCTTTTAAAATGCATACACTTATGTATTCGTTAGAAACCTTGACTAAATAGTGTGGAAGATAGATACAGTGTCCAGAAGTGTTTTTTCCTTTCATTAAATTGACTTTTTAAAAAACTTGCGGGATTCTTCTGTAAAGTTTTTTCTAATGAAATTTGAGTTAATTTTTTTCTGGTAAAATTTGAATCTAGAGACAAATAAAAATACTTAGCTTTCAGAACTAATGACTATCAGCGCATCTCTTCTTACCAGTGTTTTTGTACCTTCCTGTTTTCTAAAATCTTAAGTTCCTTTATTTATTTAGTTTGGTCATTTGCTTAGCAGTGACTGAAATGAAATTATTTTAAGTAAAGTAATTATGGGTAGTGTTACATATATATTCTAAACATTGTAAAATCTAAAAAATATTTACCAACCTGTAGCTTTTTTACTCTGCAATCAACTGATGGTACAAGCCTCTGTATAGCAACTATAAAACTTCCCTATGAGTAAACATCATAACTATAGAAGGGTCTCATAATACTAAAGAATTTGTGTTTTGACTTCTGGGACAGAAGCCAACAGGTAGCAACAGATATATATATAGCTTTAATATTTAAACATTTCCTGCTTTTCTTTCTGACAGAATGTACAATGGAGAACATAATAGTACATGATTGTTGGATTCCTAAAAGCAAAAGTTGCTAATATAATTCATGTGGGAGCAATGCTTTAAATTCCTGACTATGCCTAACTAATAATAAATTTACTTGATATTCTGTTTGTAATCATAAATTATTTTATATGTTACTGATACTTATTAGTATCTAGAAAATAGAGCCTATATTTATATCATTTAAATACCTAAAATAACAAATAATATAATTTGCTAAAATGAGTGTTAGATTTTTAGTATTTGTACTTAATAGAAATGCCTTCTGTTTCCAATATACATTAAGTAAAAAGCTGATTGTGATTAAAAAAGGGACACATTTCAGATGAGTAACAATTTGATTGCATGTATGTGTTACTTTATTTAGATATGCATAAAAGGCAAAATTCACATATTTAAGTACCTGAACATACAAGCTTGTAAGATTGCTCCAGATCTGCCAGATTATGATAGGAGACCCTTGGGTTTTGGCTCCTGGTAAAGGAACCTCCATACTGTTTTCCATAGTGGTTGCACTAATTCACAACCCTACCAACAGTGTATGAGGAGTTCCTGTCCTCCACATCCTCACCAGTGCTTGTTATTTTTTTTTTTTTTTTTTTTTTTTTAATTGTCATATTCTGTCTCACAAGAAATAAAATATACTAGACCCTTAAATCTGCCTGAATGTTTGACTATAAGGAAATGACCTATTTTGACACTATTTTTCTCAGAATACTTATATTAAGTAAAATGTTGATTAGTTAGATAATGGCAAAGCGTAACTCTAATCAGGGTTTCTCAACCTCAACACTTTTTGTTATTTTGGACCAGTTAATTCTTTGTTGTGAGGAGCTGTCCTATACATTGGAAGATATTTAGCAGCATCCCTGGCTTCTATTGTACTCTCCCAGTATGACAAACAAACAATGTCTCCAGACATTGCCAAATATCCCCTCAGAGGGATGGGGTCGGTGGGGGGGGTGGGGCGGTTCGCAATTGAAAACCACTGGTCCAAGTGATTTGAATATTAACCTAGCTCTTCTCTTAACTAGCTCTGTGATTTAGGCAAATCTCTCAAACTTTTTGTGCTTCATTTTTCCTATAGGGAGTGAAGAGATTGGAATTGATGTCACTTTGGGATCTAAAAAATCAATTAAAGAAAAGATGTACAAAAAATAAAAGTAGCTTTTATTTTATATATACCAATTGATTTTTCTCCCCTGGAGTTAGTAATTCTTGCTAAGTTAAAGTTTTCCCCCCTGTGAAATAACAGAATAGGAACATTAAGCTGCTACTCTACCTTTGAGATTTGAGTGTAAGACAATTAATAGTGCGTCCTGGTAGCTACATGTGTGGGTAGCCTAAAGACACTAAGGAGGGAGTATCGTCACCTATATGGATAATGAGCTTTAGCCAGGGGCTGCAGTGCTAATTGTAGACCCTGTGATTCTGTCCTTTGTCTTAGCCCAATTTTTTTTACTATAGCAATCATCATCAGATTACTTTAAAACATACATAGAAAACAACAACAAACTAACAAGAGACTTGTGTGTTTCTAAGAGATAAAAGAAAGCTTGGATCAGTGGAGAAACCTTTTCTAAATGCAAAGTCTAAATAGCATAAATATGTCATGTCTCTCCAAAGGAGTTATGATACTTCATTTGTAATACTTTCACAATGTGCTAGAAATTTTAAAATATACATATATGTATATTGGGGCCCGGTGCACGAAATTTGTGCACCGGTGGGGTCTCTAGGCCTGGCTGGCAATTAGGGCTGATCAGGGCCGGGCTGATCGGGGCCTGCCGGCCACGGGGAGGGACAGGGTGTGGAAGGTTGGCCACCAGCCCAAGAAAGGAGCCGGCCCTTGGCCCCCGTGGGAAAGGGGCTGCATCCACCGCCACCCACCCCCGGTTCCCCATCCCAGTCCAGGGCCCGGAGAGGAGGCTATGGTCGCCAGACCAGGCGCTGACGCCAGAACCCCGCTACCACGGGTTCCCCACCTCCCCACCTCCTCCTTCCCTCGACGCCGCGCCGCCACCATGGGGGAGAGACAAGACATGGGAGGTTGGCTGCCGGCCCCCCTGGGAAAGGGGCCGTGACCACCACCACCCACTCCCAGTTCCCTGTCCAGCCCGGGGGCCTGGCCCTGATCGGGTGATCAGGGCCTGCTGGCTCAGGGGAGGAACCACGGGAGGTTGGCCACCCGGGTGGGAAGGACCGCAGGAGGTTGGCTGACCAGGGGAAGTTGGCTGTGGGAGTGCACTGACCACTAGGGGGCAGCTCCTGCGTTGAGCGTCTGCCCCCTGGTGGTCAGTGTGCATCATAGCTACCAGTCGTTCCTGTCGTTCTGGTTGTTCCGCCGCTTAGGCTTTTGTATATATAGATAGATAATTTATATATTTACATATACATAAAATATTTCCTTGAACTCCTCATGCACCAGTGAATGAGATATTATACCTTCATATCTTTCTCACTGGGGTACAGATTAGTGAAATTGCATTGTAATTTATTCAAAATGCCGTCATAGAGTCAGAATGTTTTGGTTCTAGCTGTGAATCCCCGTACTATTGGGCAGTTCACTTAACCCCTTTGAACCCCCGTTTCTTTGATATGATCTTTACCCTCTTTAGACTCGAACAGTAGTTCTGAGGATCAAATGACCTGTGTGTGAAAGTGTTATACTGACCATTAAGCCTTATACAAATATTAGGCATTGTAGTTACTAGCTATCTACTGTGATCTAGAAAGAGTTCAGTTCTAAAAGAATCCTGTCTTGCTAAAGAGAATTGTTATTAATCCTGTAGTTCTTCAGGTATTTGATACAAATTAGATGCTGTGATACTATTAGTCCTTAGATGCAACTTTCTAACTACTTTTATGTAACATAAAAGCAACACACACTTTTCTTTAAATCATTTTATGAAGGTCACAGATGTTTCACTCATTTCCAGAGGGAAATGCTTCCAACTCCTTCAGCAATTGGCACTATTGTGATAACGCTTTCATTTATACAGTGGCACACATACTTTTCAGTGGTGACCTAAAGTGACCTATGCTTTTTTGCTGAGGTGATTTTAAGCTGATATGTTTCTTTATGATGATGGCAGTGAAACAAACCTAAAGAAAGATTAAGCTGCTGGTAAGAAAAGTCCTGCATCTATAACCCCAGCAGTGGAATTCTTTACAAGTCTGAGCTTGTGAAAGCAATGACCATCATATTTGTATTCTTAGCACTTAGAACATTGCCTAGCATTCATTAAATATGTGATGAACTAAACTCAGATGAAGCAGATTTAGTGACTTGTTATATCAGGAAATGTTCTTTCCTAAGGGTGCATTCTTCACAGATTGATAACTTTTATTGAATGCTTTGTGGCAACCAGGCTTTGTGTAAGGCTCTAACTTATATTGTCTTAGTCTTTATAGCAGCTCTCTGAGGTAGATGTTGTTGTTAACCTTTTTTTGTTTGAAACTTATGAGAAAACAGAAGTTGAGAAAAGTTAAAGTCATACAGCTGGTAAATTATGGTGCCAAGCTGTTGGGCCAGATCTGTTAAACTATGTTTGAAACTCTTCACTGCATTATACTGATTTCATAGTTCATCTTCCTGCTACAGAGGTCACTTATGCGTTTGAATCTAGGTAGTTTATTAGGGAGACTGGACTTTCTGACAGGGCATAGCTGAAGCCTGGCAGAACTCTGTCTGGCCCACTGAAGGCCAAAATTAAGTATAGGATAACTATCTGTCCTGCTTTGTGTGTGACTAAGTGGATTTCTGGGATATAAAACTTTTAGGACTAAAACCAGGAAAATACTGACCAAACCTGGAAAATTGATAAACTGGTATGTCTCCCTTTAATTTTATCAGTTTAATCTCTGAGCCAGAGCGAACATGTATAGAAACTAGGGGTAACTGAATAAAACAATAAACTAACTTAATGCAAATATTAATTTTCTTTACTTTTTGGTTTTTTAATATTTTTGTATTGATTTCAGAGAGGAAGAGAGAGGGAGAAAGAGCTAGAAACATCAATGATGAGAATGAATCACTGATCATCTGCCTCCTGCACGCCCTCCACTGGGGATGGAGCCTGTGACCCAGGCATGTGCCCTGACCGGGAATCGAACCGTGATCTCCTGGTCCATGGGTGGATATTCAACCATGAGCCACACCAGCTGGGCTCCTTTTTGTTTTTTTAATCATCACCAGAGGATATGGTTATTAATTTGAGAGAGAGAGAGAGAAAGAGAGAGAGAGGGAAACATCGATGTGAGAGAGAAACATAGATCAGTTGCCTCCCTTACATACCTTGACCGGGTACTGAACCTGCAACCTTTTGGTGTATGGGATGAGCCACCTGGCCAGGACTCTCTTAATTTTATATTGACCACTGAAAAATATCACAGTAAAATTAGGCTAATTTTGATTGGCCACTTGATTGAAAATACATTACAGTATATAAAAGGTATCCTGTAGAGCTCTGAATATCATTAGTTGAAAAACTTGCATAATATTAAAAAGTATTTTTCAGTAAATCTTCAAATATACATATTTCTTTTGGCAGCTGCAGAAAAGAATATTTTAAATATTATGTTGGTTTTTACAACATAATATTTAATTATGTTGTAATTTTTAAATATCCATTTTAAATGTGTAGTTCAGTGAGTTTTCGTAAATGGATACAATCATGATATATCACTAGAGGCCTGGTGCACAAATTTGTGCACAGGTAGGGGCTGGCCAGGGGGAGGACCGTGGGCCGTTGGCTGGCCAGTCCTGCCCGCTGGTCAAACTCCCAGTTGAACTCCTGGTCCAATTCCTGGTCAAGGGAACAATTTGCATATTACCCTTTTATTATATAGGATTAGAAATCTTTTAAAATTAGGCACCTTGGCTTGACTTTGCTGTGATAAAACACACATAGCACCTGTTTTTAAGATCTGGACTCTAAAACAAGCATAAGAAAAAAGGGGGAAAAGCACAAGAACAGATGTGTCATGTAGATGATATACATAACACATTCTACTTAAATAGTTGGGATATATAGATGAAGGACAAATGATGTTCATTGTATTATCCTCCCAACTCAGATAGGTATGAGTTTTTTCAAAATAAAAATTTAGGAGAAATTAACTGCTTTTCTTGTAGAAAAGTAATTTTAGAATTATACTGAAAGAATTTTTGACTAAAGGAGCTTTGTGGAAGAAGGTAGGAAAATGAGGAAGGTACCTATATTTTTTGGATCTTTATTTTATTTTTTAAATATATTTTATTGATTTTTTACAGAGAGGAAGGGAGAGGGATAGAGAGTCAGAAACATCGATGAGCCCTAACTGGTTTGGCTCAATGGATGGAGCGTCGGCCTGGGGACTCAAGGGTCCCAGGTTCGATTCTGGTCAAGGGCATGTACCTTGGTTGCAGGCACATACCCAATAGGGAGTGTGCAGGAGGCAGCTGATCGATGTTTCTAACTCTCTATCCCTCTCCC